TCCTGGGCTCAAGTGATCCTCCGACCTCAGCCTCTCAAAGTGCTGGGATTACAGGTGTGACCCACCATGCTTGGCCCAAATAGCAGTCTTCTCTATTCCACAGAGTGCCCCAACAGTGGTATACTCCAATATCTCTTCATTCTGCCACTCTGACCAATCCCAGAATTTAAGAGTTAATTTAATAAAACTAAACAAATGAGGGGCCGGGCGCGGTGGCTCACACCTGTAATCCCAGTACTTTGGGAGGCTGAGGTGGGCTGATCATGAGGTCAGGCGATCAAGACCATCCTCGCTAACACGGTGAAACCCCGTCTCTACTGAAAATAGAAAAATTAGCCAGGCATGATGGCAGGTGCCTGTAATCCCAGCTACTCGGGAGGCTGAGGCAGGAGAATGGCATGAACCCGAAGGTGGAGCTTGCAGTGAGCCAAGATCACGCCACTGCACTCCAGCCTGGGTGACAGAGCGAGACTCGTCTCAAAAAAAAAAGAAAAAAACAAATGAAATTTGTTGATTTGCCCTTAAACCGTTTACAGTGGCCCAAAGAAAACATAAGTATCTACTGGCAGGTTTATTTTTCTTTTTATCTTTTATTTATTTGATTTATAAAGAACATAAGAGTGATTAAAAAGCCATATCACAAAAGAGGGAAATCCCACTCTAAAAGGGAACAGATTTGCATTTTTACTGTAAAAGAGGAGTAAAGGTTTTGTTTCATGTTCCATAATTAAACTAGACCTTGTCTTGATTTTCCGACATCAAGTCAGCATTCTCTCTTAGTGGATCTGGACCTCAGAGCCAGAGGATAGCATTCTCGGACAATGGAGATGAGGAGACTACTCATGCCTAGATGGCAGTGTACTAAGACTAGGAAGCAAACTGGATCTCTCTGCATTTAATCTTCATTGCCTCTCTCTAATTTATGGTCAGTGGGTCATAAAGACTCACAGGAACCTTCCCTGGGACTTTTTTTGTTGTTTTTTTTTTTGTTTTTGCTAATCCTTACTCAGCTGTATCTTGTACAGCATAGAGATTTAGAGCAATGGCTTGGTGCCGAGGATAGAATCTCAAATCCATTACTTCCTTGTTGTATGATCTGGGCATGTTGCACAGTTTCTTCACCTGCAAATGAAGATAACAATAGTAACTACCACTTAAATTGCATGTATTGTGAAGATTAAACAAGATAATCCATGTGAAAGATTTAGCCCTGAGAAAGAGAAAAACAGCGCCAGAGAGCTGGAATGTGGCAAAACCCTGTGTCTCCTAAAAATACAAAAATCAGCCAGGCGTGGTGGCCTCAGAAGGCTGAGGCACAAGACTCGCTCAAACACAGGAGAGGCGGAGGTTGCAGTGAGCAGAGATCACAACTGCACTGCAGCCTGGGCAACAGGCGACAGAACAAGATTGTGTCTCAAAAAAAAAAAAAAAATCCCACCTGGAACGCCTCTTAAAGTGTCAGTTTCTTAGCCCCACACCCCATCAGCAGAAACAGAAGCTCTGGAAGAAAGAGCTATAAAATACAGGACTCTATATTTTAAATAATTTCTTCCAGTTTTTTTTTCTTTTTCTTTCCTTTTTTTTTTTTTGGAGATAGTCTCACTCTGTCGCCCAGGCTGGAGTACAGTGGCGCTATCTCGGCTCACTGCAACCTCTACCTTCTGGGATCAAGCAATTCTCCCATCTCAGCCTCCGAAGTAGCTAGGATTACAGGCACATGCCACCATGCCCAGCTAATTTTTTGTATTTTTAGTAGAGACGTGGGGCGGGGGGCTCTCACCATGTTGGCCATGCTGATCTCGAACTCCTGACTTCAAGTGATCCGCCTGCCTTGGCCTACCCAAAGTGCTGGGATTACAGGCATGAGCCACCACGCCCAGCCAGATGATTCTTATACACACTAACATTTGAGAATAACTGAGCTCTTTAAAGGGACAGAAAACACAGAGACATGGAAGACTGAAGCAGGTAGATCATCTGAGATCAGGAGTTGAAGAACAGCCTGACCAACATGGCAAAACCCATCTCTACTAAAAATACAAAAATTAGCCGGGCATGGTGGCGGGTGCCTGTAATCCCAGCTCCTCAGGAGGCTGAGGCAGGAGAATCGCTTGAACCTGGGAGGCAGAGGTTGCAGTGAGCAGTACCACTGACTCCTTGTGGCGAGAGGCAGGACTCCATCTCAAAAAAAAAAAAAAAAAGAAAAGAAAATACAGGAAGGAGATGAACTGCAGTCAGCGTGTGTAAGGTTGACTTAACAGATGCCTCCATATCATATAACAGAGCCACGTCATCACTAAACACCCACAACAGAATGTTCTATTCTCATACCTCATGCTATTCTACAGCTAACAATTTGATGTGAGAATACTGAAACAAGAATTTTCCATCATAAACTTAAAACAGCGATAAATCTCTAAAAACAGGGCACCGACAGTAGTTCAGTAACTTAGGATATTTCTTCCTGGAATAGATGAATGTTATTGTAGTTCAGAAGTTCACCTTTCCAAATAGTAAGCAGTTTTTTCAGAATAACTTCATCAGGGCCAAATATAGCTATATCTCATGTGTTCCAATTTCACTAAAGATTACAAACTACTTGGTGCAATTTCTGAAAACTGCCGCTCAAAATTCATTACTAATTTCTTTTAATCAAAATTAGATTTGAATTAGCACGAAGCTATATTATTCTCTTCTTTTGGAAAATATTTTATTTCCCGGGACAACTTTGTTCCCTTTCTCGTATTGTCTCCTTTCTTCCTTAATCCTTGCGTAGTTCTGACCAATTCTTATGCACAAACTCCAGTGTTAACCGTTGTCCACTCGTAGTAGTTAATTCGCAAGTAACCTTTTCTCCAGAAAAATTTGAGAGAAATGCTAATAACTTACAGTAAAAAAAAATAAAATTATGTATTTGTGCCTGGCCCGTGGCTCACACCTGTTAATCCCAGCACTTTGGTAGGCCAGGTGATAGATCACTTGAGTCCAGCGAGTCAAGGCTGGGTAATATTTTATTTATTATTTATTTATTTTGAGATGGAGTTTCACTCTTGTTGCCAGGCTGGAGTGCAATGGCACAATGTTCGGCTCACTGGCACTCCGCCTCCTGGACGTTCGCAAGCCGATTCTTCTGCCTCAGCCTCCCAGTAGATGGGATTACAGCGCGCCAGCACATGCCCAGCTAATATTTTGTACTTTTACTAAGATGGGGTTTCACATGTTGGCCAGGCTGGTCTGGAACTCCTGACTCAGGTGATCTGCCCAGTCAGCCTCCAAAGTGGTGAGATTACAGCGTGGACCACTCGCCTGGCCAAGATTCCTTACAGATGCAAATTTCCCCACAAAGAACAGCTTTGCAGGCCTTTTCAAAATAGGGCAAAGAAACTGTTTTGGGTAAAATATTTTTTTCTTCTTCTTTGTCTCATAATGTTATGCTGAAGTGAGGTTGAAAAGTAAATCCATGGCCGGGCGCCGTGGCTTACGCCTGTAATCCCAGCATCTTTGGGAGCGAGACGGGCGGATCACAAGGTTAGGAGATATCGAGACTATCCTGGGTAACACGGTGAAACCCTCGTCTCTTCTAAAAATACAAAATTGAGCCGGGCGTGGGGCCGGGGCGCCGGTGAATCCCAGTACTCGGGAGGCTTGAGGCAGGAGAATGGCATAAACCCGGGGAGCGGGCTTGCAGTGAGCTGAGTCCGGGCCTGCGACTCAGCGCTCAGGGCGACAGAGCGAGACTCCGTCTCAAAAAAAAAAAAAAGAAAAAAAGAAAAGTAAATCATGATATACAGGGTTAAATAAAACCCATCTGATGAGAATTTATGCTTTGTAGGGCATGACTCCCCAGACCCCTTAAATAGGAATTTGGGCAAAATAAAAAAATCAGTTTGGTCCTCAAGTCACTACTTTTTCATATTTGTCCTTGATTATCACCAAAATGTTGGAGGACAGGAGTATTTCTCCCTCTTCTCTTTTAAGTCTGTTTTTCCCAAAACCAGTGAAAATTTGTTAACCAAATAACTGTAGTCTGCAGCCAGGTGATATCTTTCCCAGTGTCCCAACTGTTTAGTTGCAGTTCCTAAGCATTAAGTACTTAAATAAGCTAAGGACTATCCTCACTTTATCTTCAATTTAGATTTACATCCTAGTTTAAAATCAGTTCCTTGCAAGCTAAAGGCAGTGCTATAAATAAAAAAAAAATTTTAAACCTTCTAAAATAAACATAAATGTTAGAAAATAAAAGTCAATTGTATTCACTCAATTGTATTTGTTTAGAAATAATCAGATATTATACTTGTTTCTTGCACATTCCTGCCTTGTTTCCTCACCTATGAAATGGAGATAATAATACTAGCTACCTAACAAGACTGACCTAACATTTTTAATTTCTGGGTGTTAGCATTAGTTTCATTTTTTTCACTATTTGTATTTAAACGAAGAGATTTTTCTTTAAAACGAAAATTTAAAAGTGCTGGCTGTTCTAGGAGTAATATTCATTCCAAATAAACATACAGTGATCTTTGAAGTGGTCAAGCACTAGAAATTCCTGTAGAAAATTAATTTTTCATTCATTTGGCATCGGATAAATCTAGGTTGGAATTGGTTCTTCCCCTTTGGAAGGTCAGTCCCTGCCCTAAGAAAGCGGAATATTACTACCCACTTCACAAGATTGTTCTAAGAATCAAATGAGAAAATGTGTGTGTTTATTAAGGGTTTAAGAATTTAGAGCTCCATGAATGATACTTACCGTAATATTGTTCATTAATTCAAAAAACATTTCTAAGGATCCCTCACTACTAGAGATGCATAAAAGTTGCTAACCCTCGGCCTTTACCCAGCGTTAGAAAACAAAACAGAGGGTAAAAGACCCAGAAACGCGTTCGAACCAATTCAGCTAGGAATTAAATTCTCAGATCCTTTATTACACCACCGGAGCCTTAACCTTGAGGCAAGCAGCAGTTTGTTCATGCGCAGTTAACGCTCCCTAAACTGCCGCTTGCTCAGCTCCGCGCCTAAGGTGTCTACTTGTGCGCCTGCGCTATGACCTAGAATGGGCGCAAGCGCTGAGCGGAACTGGCTGGTTTGAAAACCATGGCGTGGGTACCAGCGGAGTCCGCAGTGGAAGAGTTGATGCCTCGGCTATTGCCGGTAGAGCCCTGCGACTTGACGGAAGGTTTCGATCCCTCGGTACCCCCGAGGACGCCTCAGGAATACCTGAGGCGGGTCCAGTGAGTGATTTGGCCCTGGGCGGGTGGGCTGGTCTTCTGCGCTGCCCCTGGGTACAGCCCCCGGTGCTCTATTCCCGTTCCAGTCTCTTGCGAGTTCGGGTCTATTCAGGATTCTGGATTACATCCTAACGTGGGCGAGTTCCTGTTGAACGTGATTGCACGTATCAAGATGTATGCTCTTAGATTTGTTTTCGATCCAGATAATTTCAGAAATATATTGTTTAGTTCCTCAATTGGAAGTCTGAATTTTTTTTCTAATTTCACAATGAACTGTGAAAATGGATCGCTCGTTTTACTACACCTGAGCAAAGCACAATAGAAATTTAATTTCTCGCGTTTATTACTTATTTGTAGGATCGAAGCAGCTCAATGTCCAGATGTTGTGGTAGCTCAAATTGACCCAAAGAAGTTGAAAAGGAAGCAAAGTGTGAATATTTCTGTGAGTTTTATTAACCGTCTGGAGCTTACCCCCAATCCCCCAATTAAAAGACTAACGCTCCCTGTAGTATCCGACAGTATCAATTATGATGTAAGATTTGACTACTCGCTGCAAAGTTAGACATTCGCTTGTACTTTTTCCTCCAGAAACACAATTGGCATTTACTGCCTCTAAAGAGGCTTTCTGTAACTCTAGCCTTTGTGGAGGCTTGCCCATCTTACTTCAGGGACATTATCCAGTCCTTTCAAAGGAGTCTTTAAATGGGTTACTTATGCTATCTTTTTTCTTTTTGCTTGTTTGTTTGTTTATAGAGAGTGAGTCTCTGTTGCCAGCAGGTCTGGAACTCCTGGCCTCAAGCGATACTCCTGCCTCTGCCACCCAAAGCATTGGGATCACAGGCATGAGCCACCTCGCCTGACCCCTTTATTTTTAAGGAAACTTTTTCAGCAGTTTGGGAGGCAGCAGTTGGGGCGAATCAACGCAGGTCAACAGTTCGAGACCAAGACCTGACACCACACACGTGAAACCACCCGTCTCCACTAAACAATCAAAATTAGCGGAGATGCCTCGCGCGCCTGTCAATCCCAGTATACTACGGAGGCTGGGCGGGTAATCGTGAAACCAATAGACAAGGCAGAGGTTGACAGTGAGCCCCGAGATCGCACCACTGTATTGCAGCCTGGGCAACAAAGTGGAAACTTCCTGTCTCAAAAAAGAAAAAAAAGTGTAAACCATCTTGGGTTTCTATTCTTAAAAAAAGTGAAATTTTGTCAAATTCAGCATAAATTAATAAAGACTAAGATTAAACACCAATCCAATTAACTG